CTGTAGGGTGCAAACTGATGACGGTGTTCCAAAATGACTCTAAGCGCTAGGTTATGGTCTATTGTGGACTTACCAGGAGTAAATCCAGATTACTCCAGTTTCTTTTGGCTTATTGGGTGGTTACAGCTATACCTCAAAAGAATGTGAGCGAGAGCACTTTGATGCCACAATAGTTGCTGCAATCCCATTGGTCTCCTTCCCCTGCCAATGCCCCTCAACAGGATCGGGGGAATGGCAGCCAGGACAACATGGTATCCCAACACCATAGGTTCACCACCAGCCCTTAGCAGTTCAGCAGGAATACCGCATATGCCAGCTGCTATTCCACTCTTCAGCCTAGAGATCGCTTCCCGAACCGTAGTCAGGGAAGGAGGTTCTTCGCTGATGGGTGGGTCTGGAACCAGGAATGCGATTCCACTAACTGCTGGAGGTTCAGCCTGATACAGCTCCTCAGAATACTAAGCTCTTTATTCACAAACTCAAATTCCCGGATAGGAATCGACACATTAATACATCGTACAGTTACATAACTGATGGTCATGCTGTCTTACATTTTCACCTGAAAAATGCCTTGAAATGTATTAGTTAGTCGTTATTTTTTAGGAACTCTATAATAAAATCGTCACTGAAGCCCTTTGCTGACTGTACCTACTTCCTACTACTAGCTTTGGATTCATCAAGTTGCAAGGAATCTCCACACCTCTAAACTCGTTAGGGGATTTAATGAGCTACGAGTTCTTTTTTCCTTTTTTTTTTTCTTTTGCGAATGGTATTTACATTATTACTTTTATGGTTTAGTATAGAAAATTTTAAGTTGCAGTTGGTAATTTTTAATGTTCAGTGCATTACTCTATGACTAGGAGCATGAGTGGTAACTTTGGAGATTTTATACAACTTGATCTACATTTCTCACAGAATTCCTTGTCAGGAGAGTATATGATAAACACTAATAATTCCCAAAAAAAATGTTTGATACATTATTCTGTGGTTGGGAGAATTCATACTAATGTGTGTGCGTCTGTGTGTGTGTTTGTTTGTGTGTGCGTGTGCGTCTGTGTGTGTGTTTGTTTGTGTGTGTGTGTGCGTCTGTGTGCGTTTTTAGAAAGGCTTGGGTTATATCTTTAACCGCATTTTCCAATGAAGGTACTAAATACGGATAGGTCTTCCTACTGCTATTTCCTTTGATACTTTGCTTTAGTTTCATTTGAAGCTTGTGTCATTTCATTTACGTCAGAAGTCATGGTGTTGTAATATTACTTCAAAAAAAGACGACAGATCTACTCCTGGCCTCGGATTTGAACATTTTATTGTAAGATAATTCTACGGCATCTTCTTGAGTAATTCTAATGTAACTATCCCTACTCCTTTAATAACTGGTGACTTGTAACTTATCGTACAAAAGAAAAGTAAAGGAGTATATTAAATAAAGCATCTAGGATATCTTTTTTGAATTTTCCGTTAGTGATATCCGGTTGTGTAGGACCGCAGAATTTTTACTCATATTTACAATATTGTATAACTGCGGATTGATTACTTAATGGAGTAGGCCACACAAATATACAAGTTAACGTAAATGAAACAGTTTTGAAAGAAAGTCTGAAGCAAGATCTTCATTTTGTATCGACGACATAAAAACCATAATACAATGCGATAGATTAACAAATGTTACCAACAACTGAGGCTACAGCGTGATAAAGTCGAAAGGTCAGTTAAGTCGAGATAACTTGGCAGGGGAATGAGATATTAGGAAATCTTCAAATAAGCAGAATTTTTTCTTATTTTTTAGCACGCGTATTGTCCGCCTGTATTTGTGTTCAAACATACTTACTAAATGTTATGGGTTATGATCCCCGCTTAACACAAATTCCTCCGCATCCTATTATTCCGGAAGTCATCCATCCATTTAGGCCTACTCGAATTCCCAATATTACACTGAGTACCGTCTCCCCACACTGTTTGGGACGAACTCATTTATTGCCAGCCTTCTGAACTAGATTGATAATGAAGAATACTACATATGCGGTGCAAATTATCAAATGATAATTGGATTCTGAATGTATATACACACACACACACACACACACACACACACACACACACACACACACACACACATATATATATATATATATATATATATATATATATGTGTGTGTGTGTGTGTGTGTGTGTGTGTGTGTGTGTGTGTGTATTATATACGTATATGTATATATGTACACACACACACACACACACACACACACACACACACACACACACATATATATACATATATATATATATATATATATATATATATATATATATATATATATATACATATATATATATATATATGTATATATATATATATATATATATATATATATATATATATATATATATATATATGTGTGTGTGTGTGTGTGTGTGTGTGTGTGTGTCTGTGTGTATACACACACACACACACACAGATATATATATATATATATATATATATATATATATATATATATATATA